GTTGCGAATGCTGATATTGATAGGACTTTGATTTCGCCAAGTACCTGCCAATCGGAAGGGAGTAACACCAAGGCCCAGGAGCTGAGCCGATTTCATCAGGGCTGGTAAGGACTGAATTGATCAAGTTGAAAAGTTTATGCCCATGTTTAATCCCAGAGCCAGTGCTGATCACAGATTTTGGTGTGATCAATTCAAAATTGCCTCACTGGCCATGAGTGCTCAACTTTCTCCTCCTGATCTATTGAATCTGAGTAGGTTGACAGTGTAGGAATTGATGCATGTTGGGACAAAGCACAAACTTCCACAGTGCTCAAACAAGATCGGATTAAAAATCCACAGAATGAAGTGATTTGCTGCAGTGAAGGTTTTACGATTAATAAGAATTCTATTTATCTATCTATCTATGTAGTTCACGATAAAAAGAAAAGGACAAAATTTATCTATTTGTGTCATATAAAATGTCTGGTAAGCATATTTCTAAGAAGAAAGAAAGAAAAAAAAAATGCAAATTCTAAACTACCAAACAAAAAGTCAATCATAAACAAAAATACGAAGGAGGGGAAGTGAGGTCCAAAAAAAAAAGGAAGGAAGGAAGATAAAGGAGTAAAACGTAATATCTTAATAGATAGGAGAGGACGAGCTGAAGATTATTACAAACAGGCAGGCAAACAAAGCCTCAGAGGTCTGAGTGGTTTAGTTTCCTCCAAGCTGAGTGAGTAGAGCAAGGACTCTTTACCCCGTTTGAGCCGGCCAGTTGCAAGATAGATCTCAGAGAGTAAGTACCAAGCCTCCGGGACATCCCATGCGACCGTCTGAGTCAGCAGGTCGAGCAGTCCCTCGGCGAGTTCCACTGAGCCTTGCTCCTTAAGGATCCGGGCCATATGGACCACCGCAGGGATATGTTGGTCTGAGAAGGCGAGCGCCTTAGTAAGACAATCGATCGCTTGACTCAACTCGCTTATCGACAGACTATACAACCCATACTGCACCCAGAGCTCCGCACTCTCCCCATTCAACGTCTCGGCTTCTTGGATCGCCCCTCGACATTCACTGTTCTTACCCCACCTTCGGAACGTCGCCGCTGACATCAACCATAAATCTTGCAAGATCTTTAACGACTTCAGATTCGCAATGCTCTCTTTCTTTTCCTCTTCCTTAATCACGATCTCTGCCATCTCTTGCGTGAGGGCTAACAGGTCATTAGCTCCTGAGGTCGATCGTTGTTTCTGCAATTGAGTCGAAGGCGAAGTGTGGGTTCGGCGCCGAACTATCGCAGAATATTACGATCGACATAAGGGACTGTTTTCGTCTTTTTTTTTTTTTAGAAAAAAGATGACGCCGAGCCTGCTCACTTGAATTAGATACCTTAAGATCAAAAGTTGGTTTTCTAACTTTCAACCGAGATGCGCGAATGGCTGAGCGGGTAGTGGATGGAGACACGGACGAATTTCTTTCGTGCAGAAAGGAGGATGAAGCGCCAGTTGATTTGGATTGCGATTGCGGTTGGGATTGGGATTGAGATTGAGATTGGGATTGGGATTGAGATTGAGATTGCGTCTGCGAATGAGTCATTTGGATGAGATCTAAGGATGGACAAAAACATCAAGTCTATTTAGATAACTAAATATGACCAGTAAAGAATAAAACAAAACGCTTAACCTTGAGTGTGAACTTGCGAGTAAACCTGGGCAAAGAAAGCAAACAGGCTTTGTTGATCGGATAGGGCAACCTCGGGACCCTGAAGGGCTTCGAGGAGCATATTTTTAGTCATCCTTAATTGGATACTAGCCTCGAGATTATCGGCTTTCGAGGCGGGAAATTCCAGTTTGTTTTGGCTAATTTGGGAGACCGTTTGAGGGAGGGAGCTGTCTCGGCTGGGGCGGCTGGAAACGTTCGGTACTGTCAAATGTCCTTCGCCAGCCTGTGTGCTCTGTTGTGGCACAAGCTCTGGTTCGGCGATCAGTCCCACCCCGGGTTTGGCATTGCTGGCAGCCGATGTCTCAGAGGATCCCGCCGGGGTCTCATCGGTTAATAACGTTCCAGGAACGCTCGAGTCTCGGCTGAGACTCGAAGAGCCAGCCCTTGGCGTTCTCATCCCAGGTTCACCTTCATCGAGATCTTCAGTATTCACCAAACCAACTTCGGCGATGTCGAGTGCGAGCTTGAATTCCTTGGAAGCAGAGGTCAGTAAGCATAAAAGATGCCATGCACTAGTATGATTAGGATTGATTTCGACCGCGGTACGTGCAGATACTAAAGCGGAATCGATATCGCGTAATTCGGCCTGAGCATAAGCCAAATGATACATGTTTTCAAATGAGGTAGGGTCGTTTTCAGTTGCCTCAGTCAACCGCTCTAGGTAAGAGGCGTGCAAGTTGGGTCGCGTCTCTTGATCGGCTGGTGAGGATTAAGTGGTCTTAGCTAAACTGCTCCTAGATTATACAACCGTAAGTTGACCCACCTTTCTGAGCACAAGCACCAGCAGCAATGCCTCTCATTCTGGCCAGGCGAGATCTCAAACAGGCGTTGTTTCGTGCAGCCTCTTCTTTTGTGGTTTGCATGATCTGGCTGGCGCGATCTAAAATCTTAGTAGCTTTCTCGGGGTTGTTGAGAAACTTAATTAACATTCTGCCTCCATAAATCATTGTCTGGATGAAATCTTCGTCCGTATCTCTGTTGGGCACGATAGCTCTCGCGTCTGGTTGATCGTCCGGCGAAGCTTTGTCAGTGCCGTTAAGTGGAGCTTCACCCGATACTAACGGGCGAGGATTTTTGAATTCTGAAGAATCATAATGACCATTGGCACTGGCGGTAATGTGCAATTGACAGTAGAGATCCAACGCTGCTTCGGCCTCGTCCCAATCGTGCTTGGCATGTAATAATTGGATGAGGTATCGGAGAATCTTTTGTGAGTGAAACGTCTTGCGTGTGGCGTCGTGCAATATGTCGATGATCTGTGAAGAGGTGTCAGGATCGGAGCCGCCAAGTTGCCAGCCCTCATAGAGCAGATCACAAAACTCAAGCATTAGATGATTGGTGGAGCCCGCTTTTGGAAAAGTGGTGGTGATTCGAAGAATTGCATTATACGACTTGGCTACCGTTACAAGTTCAGATCTCCAAGCGACGCTATGTGATGGGATTGCAATCAATTCCCCGTCTTGCAAAGTAGAAATCGGCACTTCAGAGTATTGATTGGTGGGCTGGGATACTGCTGGTTTCCACGAATCAGATCTGGCGGTGATGAATAAAAGTTTGATGGAAGATTTATAAATTACGCTCCGCTTGTTCAATCGGAATAATAACGGCCAATATCTGGAGCGTGAGTGGTAACGCCTATGTACTTCGAGAGAATCTATACCTGGTCTAATGCAATTTCGAGTCAGCCGTATGCGAGACAGAGCACCACCCAAGAGAAAAAAAAGTAAACGGCTGACATTACAACTCTAGAAAGTATGCAAGCACGATACATGGCCAATTCAGCCCAACCATGCAGTTCATTATGAAGCTCGTCTGTACTCCCCACGGCTAAAGACCCCAAGCAAAGGTCGTACACTTCGACAACTCGGTTGTAAGCTTCTAGTGTCACCGGTAATTCTGTTCCATTCCGCTCTTGAGCCAAAGCTGTGGGACCATAAGAAAAGGGGTGATCAATTAGGAGCTGTCGATTAGGCTAACTTGGGAAACCCATGGCTTGCCTTTGACGGCCAGACCATAACCAGATGATCACGTCATACTTGTCGAAGTTGAGATCGACGGTTTCGGGCACCACAAATGTACATTTCTGGATCGTTTGTAAGCATTTCTCATGTTCCCCTGACATATAAAGACCAAGTGAAATGACGATGTTTGCAGCCTGAGTTTTGAAAAAAGGTCTGAAATAAGGAACCGAATAATTTGTGAAGGAACATTGGGATGGGAAGTAGTCTGGTTGCTTACGTTTTGTTCACTTTGTAACTTGTGATCGGCTTCGTTGGTGTTATGCTTGGCGAGGCTGGCTGTTAGTTTGGCAACATGTTGTTGAGCGGCCTCTTTATCTTCGGTTCGTACGAGGGGGGGTAGTAGCGAATGACCACTCTAAGACTCATAAAACAGACGAGGGAAGGTCAAGATCTATTCCTTGAGGGTATGCGACTGGGAAGGCCTACGTCTGGATCATCCTCAAGATGAACTCTGTCGTGGTCATATACTGCCTCTTGATCGGCGGAAGCAAGTAACAATCTGAGAGCCAGCTCGGTGGTCGCAATCTCAGCCGTCACTGATATCATTCCCCACGGCCAAATCCAACGAAGCACGATCAACCTTCACTCGAACTTTATCCGACATCTCGATTTAATTCTCACTTACGAGCTCGTTCGGGATTATGCTTGAGATACTTGCGAATGATCTCTGGCCAGGAAAGACCGGGTCCGACTTCGGGCAAGAAAGACCAAAAAACGATGGATATGATATTAATCAGATTCACTCTTGATTGCCAGCTCAAAGATGCTATCACGGTGAAGAAACGACATGCCTTCGGCAGGATTGGTGGTTGAGGTGATCAGGGCGCCCTTGGCGGTGATGGGTGTGGATTGAGTCCATGATCCGGCTGATCTGACCAAATCGAGGAAACGAGCATATGTTTGACCTTTTGGCTATGTGTGAATGAATGCAAATGAAGAGTAAGTCAGGCTTGATTGAGAGCTTGTCTATATTGGATGGACAGGCAGATAGAAGCTCGATACTCACCTGATGTCGAGAGATGATAGACATCCCGTCTGGAATGAGGTGTGAAGTGGATGAGGTGATGGTGATGGTCAGGAGGGAAGTCGAGCACTGGGTGCTGCTCGCAAGGGATTACGTCATTCGTCATCTTACCACCTTGTCGGGCACAAGAACCGGGCCCGCCAGCCATGAACGCCGCCCAGGCCCCCAAGAGGGTGTCTCAATATACATACGCTCTTCTGCTATCCAGATAATACCTCCTTATAGATTGGCAAACACTTTACTATCTCGCTTCCAGACCTCAAAGTCATCACCAGGACCTCGTATTGTAGTTAGCAAGCCAAGACACCATACTTCAAATAAGCGATGTGCTATCCGCAACCCAGTCAGGAGGAATTACAGAGACTTATTGAGATTTTTTCCGATGAGCAAGGTGAGTCTCATAGTTGCACTCTATGTACAATTACAATAACCTTGCAGGCAGCTCACTAATATCTGCCCTCCCCTCTGTTGCAACAGAAACACCACAAGTTCCCGGTCGGCAAATAACGTGGCAGAACATAAAACCGGCCCTAGGTTTCAAAGGATGGTTCTCAATCCCTGTGAAACAGCCTGAAACGTTGTATCTGTCGGACGAAGTTTGCTGTAAGATATTCCAAGGAATTGATACCGTTGAGTTGATGCTGGCTTCGTCGTGGGAGTCAAATAACAAATCATCAGTTGCGGCATGGATCAATTCGGTGGGTAAAATAAACTGACTGTAGCATTAGCATGATGATTGGCAAGATACAGTGAAGTAGCTAGAGCCCCTCATGCTGTTGTTATGCCCCTTTAGATTCTACAACCTATTTTGGCTTTATTTGAGGGAAAGATTAATAGCAATGCCAACGGCCGCGTTCGAGAAGATAGAGGATTATCGGGGGCTTGCGTAGACTTTACTTACACAGTCCTGGATCTATGTATTGTTGTTGTCGCTCAATCGAAATTTGAGGACCCAAAAGATGACGCTGCCCAACTTATGTTCGAGCTCAAAGGTTAGTCGATCAAAATTGGAACCCAACTCATTCCCATACCGATACTAATGAGACTACGTCTATCCCAACAGGTGCACAACAATCAAACAAGTCAAAAGGATTTCCCCTCAGAACCATCAACGGCCTACTGTGCTCAAGAGACTCATGGGAGATATGGAGCTGTGATGTCAATGGTGATTGCAGTAGAAGTCAGCCACTTCCAATGACTAACCACAGCAAGGATGTCTCCTTGAAAAATCTCCGGTTTCTTTTTGAAGTTGTCTACCACATCTTTTTTGAAGCATACATAGGTGCTATTGAGGCTTTAATAAACCGCAGTGAGATGCACCTTCCAGTAAGACCCTTTTGCTGGAACTAACCAGACCCTCAAAGAGTTGTAAATCCTAACTGTTGGCATATCCTTCTATGGGCCATTCAATCAACAGGCAAAATCACACCAATGGCAGGCCTCATTACACTTAGGCACGGATGCATTCAACATGGCAAGAGTCGCAAAAGACAATGTTCAATTCCATGAAGCTATCAAGAAACTACAGGAAAGGTACGTCAATGCCATCCATACTCACAAGTAATTCATTTGAACTAAATCATCACCTTCTGAGTTTTGCAGCTTTGAGTTATTACCTGATGAGCACGATCGTGAATTAGGTGGGTACCTTGAGGCATTCAAGAGTGCTATATCTAAGTGATCTTGTATTGCCATAGCCTTTTTGCTACCACATTTTCTTTCCTCCACCCTTGCCTTTGAATGTTTCCCCTTCCTGTCTTCTATGCACACCTCCTCTGCTTGATTGAATGTGTTTTGTTAGGAAAACCACATGGGTTTTAGTTTACCCAACCATCCCCAAGCCATCAAATCTCAATTTTTTATCAGTATGGTCAATCTAATTGATGTATGTTATTGACACTGGTGGTTTCATTATGCACTACATGTGTTGTTTCAAAATTCTGGGGTTTGATAACCCCCCCCCCTTGTGCAAACACTACCACACTCCCATCTCTAACTTGACCAGACTGCCCTCCGGATTGGGGTGCGGGGATGCACACCAATCATTTGCAGGGAGTCATCCCTGCACGCACCTGCATGCCAATCTGCAGGAGAGTCCGGGTGTGCACTCCCCTTAGAAAGGGGCAAAATACAAAAAACCCTGGTTAAGGATTCCTCCCAGCCCAACACTGTGAAGTTTTGAGGCCGGGAGGGATTCCTCCCAGCCTTGAGACTGTACAGTGGGTAGGCAGTGAAAAGATTTTGGATTCCAGAGCTCCAAAAAATTAACTTGAATTTGTATGACTTGGTCAAGTGGTTCAGAATGGTTCCTGTAAAATGAATATTAAAAAAACTAAAACAAAAACAAAAACAAAATACCTCAATTTGTGAAAAATAACATATAAAATTGATTTTTATAAAAAGCTTTGACATTTTGTTTTGGGGGAGTGAGAGTGCTGAGAGAAAGAAAGATTGGGAGATGAGAAGAATGATTATAAATGAAACTTTTGGAGAGATTGGTTTCCAGATGGCTTCAAAAAGCTGTTGAGTGGGGCATTTACCATCCCACATTGCAGCATAGCACTAGAATTTACTGTTTTGGCCCCAATCTGGACAACAGACCTGAATAAACCTTTTTTGAATTCAATTTTTTCATTTATAACTAGTATATGCCCCCAAATTTAGGGAGGCTGCTTGTTTTTGCCCCGGATGTTGGGGGTTTACTTGTTTGAAGGCCCTATGGTGTAACAGCCTTTGCTTTTGAAGGTTGCTATGTTTGTAAAGTCTTATGTTGGAAATGACATTGAAATGTGCAACATCGACGCCGGTGTTAGAAGCCGCATGAGAAACAATACAAATACCTATTGAAGGCTGATGGTTTGTTTGGCCCTCTGAGGCTCTTTTTTTAGTTATATGTAGATTATTCTTCCCATGTTTCATTCTTCCTTTTTCTCAGCTCTCCCACTCTCCCAAAATGTACAGTGCCCTCCCAGATGTATATAGCCAACTTGTTTGGATTACACAACCCTAACCCACCAACTTGCAATCATGAGACTTGGGCAAGTGGCATAAAGAGGTTTCAAAAAATGATTTTGAAAACAAAAATATGAAAACCTGATTTTTAAAATTTTCAAAAAATATTACAATTATTGCACTTTTTTTGAAAAGTCTCAATATTGCTCCAAATGAAACAATAAAAATTGGAACTTGGAGTATGGTATGCTGGAGAAATGATAATAAATGAAAATTATGATCAAATAACTACCAGATGGTTTTAAACTGGTGTGGAGGGAGCAACGCTGGGCCAGCTACGCTAACCGTAGCGGTTAGCGCAGCGTAACGTAGCGGAATTCCACGCAACTTTAGCGTAGCGTAGCGGGATTCCGCCACGACACCGCTAACGCTACGTGTGTGGGCCGCAAAAAAGGGCCCACTACGCTGCGCTACAGCGCTTTTTAGCGGTTTTTGGCCGCTTTTTCCGCTAAAAGCGCTGTAGCGCAGCGTAGCGTAGCGAAAAACCGCTACAAAAACGCTAACACTACCGCTTTTGGATGAAAAAAAAGCGCCGCTACGCTACGCTTTTTGGGCCAAAAGCGTAGCGTAGCGTAGCGGCCCACCGCTGGAGGGAGTCATTCATCAGTCTCACAGTGGAAAAAACAGTGGAAGAGAGTGCTATCAAATTCAACTTGTGTTTTGAGCTGGATACTGAGGTCAAATTATTTCTGGTGTTGATTTTTTTCATTTATTATCATTCTTCTTGCATACCATACCACTCTTTCCAATTTTTATTTTTTCATTTGAAGTAGAGATGTCAGCAGGTACCCTTTTGCAGGTACCCGGTACCTGTTTGCAGGTACCTGTTTTCCAAAGCAGGTACCCGGAAACAGGTACCGGGTGCGGGTGCGGGTGTCAAAATTTGCAGTAAAAAAAGGCAGGTACCCGGGTACCTGTCAGCCTCTATGCTACTAACCTGTAAGGGTTGTGCTCTGAGTGTTAACAAGAAGAGTAATTGAGAAGGTTTATTCGTGGTTAAATCCCTCAACCTGTAAAAGAAACAGGGAGGAGTCAGTGAGGAATGGTACTTCTACTGCTGACTCATCCAATTATTTAATTGGGCATCCAGATCAATCCTCTTGTATGGATTAATAGGCTTCCAAGGTGAGGACTTCTTCAACTCACTTGGGATTAGTCTTTTAACAACAATCTAGATTAATAAGTGTATCAACACTTAAGGACCTGAATTGTTTAACCTGGGGGATAATTCTTTATGCAATAGAGATAAGTAGAAATGCCTTGAATCTGAGCAAAGTAAATCTATTTAGGTCTAAGGTAGCTGGGTTGTAATGTTATTGGTGGTTTGAAGCACTAATAATCACGGTACAAGTGTTGGTTTGATGCTACTAGAATTTCCTGGGGGGAAAAGGTAGGAATCTGAGCTCCTTAAATATTCTACAGGGGGCTCAGGGGAAGAGGAGAGGCCCTCAGGGCACTAGGGAGCTTCTTAGCAGCTCTACAATTTCGTGTAAGGCTGGGAGCTGCAGCTGTGCAGTGCTATGCATGGGTGGAAGGTCCTAGGACATGAGATCATACATGCATAATTGAGTTTTGTGGCCTATTTCTCACGTAATTGAAAAGGCTACAGTTACTGTGCAGGGGCTGTGCAATTGTAGAGTTGGTTGCATACGTGTAAATCTGCTTATGCAAGCTTGTGATCATGAGAAATGCATGTCCTTCATGCATAATTCAGTCTTGCATGTAGAATTTGGGCTCCTTTCCCGTGTAGGCTGCTTTGAATTATGCAAGCTTTGAATTAGAGCACAAAAGGGTCCTGATGACGCCATCCAAGAGGGTTATGATGCAATCTGATTCCCTGATGATGTGATCAAGGATGGGTAAGCTTCAGATAAATGTGTATAGCTTATTCCTCATCCATTTCACGCTTCTACTAGCTGATTCTTTATACATATGTAATTATTTATGGCTTATAAAATATGTACATAATGTATAAGAATAAACAATGTTTTAATACTTTATTCTAATGATATTTCTGTGAAATCCTAGTGATATTATATGTACACTACTCAAGGGGATTTCACAGTTAATTATAGAATTATTAAATATAAATTATGAATTAAGATTAAATGTAAATACATATTTATTTATTTATTATTCTAACAGCAATGTATAGTATTTTCCAGTATTCAATTAGTTATTATTCTTGCAGTTACTAGGTACATTTCACGTACTGTGAAAGGTGCTCTGTGGCTGACAGTACCCGCCTTACACCCGCCCTGGGAATGCTTCCCCTGAAGAATTTAATTTATCATTGGTGGTCCAACACTCCCTTTTTTGGGTGTTTTGGGCTGCACAAAGGTGTCAGCAACCCATGTAGGACACCAGCTGGTGTCTTACATGTGTTGCTGAACTAATCTGGTTGCTTTGTTGAGGCTGGAGGGTTCCCTCCGGCGGCCCAGCCTTTGAGATGGTGTACAGTCTTGATGACTGGAGGAATTCCTCCAGTCATAAAGATGGTGTACAGTCTTCATCAATGGACATTGAATAAGGCAAATGAGGCCAAGCAAAAAGGTAAAGCTAAACATAGATCAGAGAGAAGATAAAATTCAAATTGGTGATAGAATATTTTTTTCTTTATTTCTTTATTTTTATTTTATTCTTACTCATATATCTAGTGAATATCAATCTTATATTTACCAAGTCATGCAGAAATTCAAGGGTGAGATTTCTGGGTATATTTGCCTGCAAAAATGTGCCAGGTACCCGGGTACCCGCCCTGGCGCTCCCTAGCAGGTGCGGGTGCGGGTGTGGGTGTCAAAAATATTGGATTTTTGAGGCAGGTACCCGCACCCGCTACAGGTACCCGGGTATCGAGTGACATCTCTAATTTGAAGCAATATTAAGACTTTTGAAAAAAGTGCAATAATTGTAATATTTTTTGAAAATTTTGAAAATTGGTTTTTCGTACTTTTGTTTTCAGAATCATTTTTTGAAACCTCTTTTATACCACTTGCTCAAGTCTCATGATTGCAAGTTGGTGGGTTAGGTTATTTTTCACAAATTTTGGAAGTTTGTTTTTTGTTTTAATTTTTCATATTCATTTTACAGGTCCTATTCTGAACCACTTGACCAAGTCATATGACTTCAAGCTTATTTTTTGGAGCTCTGGAATTTTCTTTCACAAATTTTGAAAACTTTTTTTCATATTCATTTTACAGGACCTATTATACACCACCTGACCAAGTCTCTTGACTTCTAGTCTGTGTTTTAGAGCTCTGGAATCCAAAATAAGCAGCCATGTTTCACTGTCTACTCACTTTAGTATTACTTGTCTAAAAGCCAAGGGGGTACAGTTTTGAGGTCAACAAGGTACCTGTACCTTGCCTGACCCAGCAAGGTACATGTACCTCATTGGCCAGACAAGGTACAGGTACCTCATCAGCCAGAACTTGGAAGGAAAACTTTCTGCCAATGAGGTACATGTACCTTGTTGACCCAAAAGGAAAACCCTCTGGTCCGTGAGCTTGTGCCTCATTGAACTTGAGACTGTACAGTCTCAACTCCAAGAGGAATTCCTCTTGGCCTCAAGACATGCACAGTCTCCATGCCAGAAGGGGCCCCTCCCAGCCTTGAGACTTGGGGCTGTGTGGAAGTGTGTGCACAAGGGGGGGGAGGAGTTTTGGCAATTGGATCCTTTGGTTCCAAACGGAAGAAAATGGTTTCATGATCATTGGTTTGAAACCAAAGAACAAGCAGAGCTGGGTGAGCTGGGTGAGCTGGGTATATGAGCTGGGTGAGCTGAGTGAGCTGGGTAAAAACCGGGTTTGCCAATTTTTTTATAAAAAAAAACAGCCCTAACCAACCTAAACCCTAAACCTAAACCTAAACCCTAAACCCTAAAACCTAAACCCTAAACCCTAAACCCTAAACCCTAAACCCTAAACCCTAAACCCTAAACCCTAAACCCTAAACCCTAAACCCTAAACCCTAAACCCTAAACCCTAAACCCTAAACCCTAAACCCTAACCCTAACCCCAAAAACTAAACCTAACCCTAAACCTAACCCCCATTGAAGCAGGGTCCATTGGATTTCCAACAACTATGCCAGGTCCCCAATGGCCCCACAATACCCAGGCAGATGAAAAACTACACTCAAACCTGTCCAGGTACTGTGCCTCTCCTGGGCTAACCCTAACCCCAAATACCTGCCCCCTAACCCCCATCAGGGGATGGGACCAGTGGGAATCAAACCCACTGCTGGGTGGTCAGATGTTAGGGCCAGTGGAAACCGCTGAGCTACAGAGACATTGTCTCTGCCAGTGTTTTTGGAAATCTAGTCAGCTGGGGGACCCAGCAGCCAGCTCCAGGCAGCTCACCCAGCTCTGGCAGCTCTTTGGTTCCAAACCAAAGATAATGGTAACATTTTCTTTGGTTTGGGACTGAATAATTTGAGTGACACAGGTGGGGGGGGGAGTGTGGTTATCACTCCCCTTTGAGTGATGATGTAACAGCATGTGAATCATTTTGATGTGCAGCCTAGTTCAGGATAAGCAGTCACATAATCACATCAGCAAAGTTTCCACACAAAATCAGTGAGCTCATCTTCATTTTCCATTGGTTTATTATCTACAAGATTATTATAATTGAATTAGGGTCATCTGCAGTGGTGTGCGGCATTGTACTGTACAAGGCCACCCACAAATGTTGATTAGGTTGTGTGGGGTTAAATCTTGCCCCCGATGGGGGTCCAGCACCTGTAAAGAATACATTTTGGAGTCTACAAGGTGTGTAGATTCCAGATCTAAAATGGCGACCAATATGGTCCAGCCAAAAAAAAACTCTTTTTTTCACCGGACCATTTGGTCACAAGCCAAATATGGGGGCCTAAATACATAAATATGGGATAGGATGACACCATAAACCCATACTTATATGGCTATATGTCAGCCTAAGCCCATACACATAAGCTTAAAGCCTATGTAGATGATCAAAAGTGCATCAGGACCTGGATTGATTACAGCATTGTGGATGTCAGATTGACTTCTCAACCCCCCAGAAATTAATAAAAAACTCAGATTTTTCCAAATTTTGGGTCCCGGCCATTTGGAAATCCCAAAATCTTATACAGTACAATGCCGCGCGCCACTGTAAATTGCTTTTCTGACCACATTCTACATGCATGGAATCATGAAACTGAGAGAAATTATGAAAAGTTATAACTCAAAGATGGAGAAATGTAAGTTCCATAAAATGATTGGTGTTTTGGAAATGTTGAGCTGCTGATTTTATGTAGAAAGCTGTTTCAAAATCAATTTCTAAAACCACTACAACAAAGTTAGTATCACCCAATCTTCATAAGGAAATCAATCAGCAGAAAAAAAGATGAATAAAAATGAGGATATTCAGAAATGTTTGTCAAAATTGATCTGTAAATATAAAAACTTAAATTCAAATATGGTTTTGGTACAGAAATGTGCTTACATACTAGCCCCGGTTCACAATAGCCAGTCATCAGCAAAATTTTTAGCTGTAATCAGCAAATCATTGATACTTTCCATTTTTGAATGTGTAGCCCAGAGTCCCCCAGATTATTCCAGATCAATCCAAAAAAAATTTGCTATCAGCAACTTTTAACAAGTCAATCAGCCATTGGAACTGGCTATTGTGAACCGGGCTACTACCTACCAAACTTTTTTTCATTTATGGTACCATGGTAAGGGTATACAGAGATGATGTATAAATGTGTAAACATGAAAATGTGAATGAGCTGTGGAAGTGCTTATGTTAGCAGTTTATGGGTCAATTTTGAATACAAGCAAGTTAAAGACTACTCAAGTTGATGTATAAGTTCATAAGCATAAAATTATAAGTGTCCTTTTTGGCTGAGACCTGCTTACACAATCTCAGCCAAAAGAAATGTTTTTGATAAATTTATGCAGCCACTTTTGAACACCCCCACTGTGAGAGTTGAACAATCAGCACATAATAGTGGGATTCAAAGTTGATTTTTAAACAAGACTGTACATAAATTCACAAGGTCTAGAGGTTCAAAATTTCAGTTTTCTGAAACTTCTGGTTCCTCTTTGTTTGGAACATTTCTCAAAATTCTGTTATCTTGATGATGTTGTGTAGAATTTTGTTCAAAAATCAATTTTGAAACCCCCAAATAGCAATGACAGTGTGGCTAGTGGATTATTGGAGGTACCCAAAATGGTTGTCTGTTCTTATCTTAAATATACTACAGTTTTGATCTGCTGCCTGTCTGGCATACCAATCTCCTTTCCTCCTTCTGCTCAAAGCCCAAATTCCAGACCTAGTTATCTTCAGTTGACAAAAGTGTGTTTCTGAAATCCAATAGCTCATTCAAGAACATGCAAAAAACCAAGGGCAAGGTGTTCTTTCTGATATTTTAAAACCTTGACCAGAAAAATGCTTGATTAGTGTATATTATTAAGTATCCATTTCAATGTGACCATAGGGAGAAGTCTACTACTCACTAGCGCTGTCTAGCGATGTGTGGTCCAAAGTCTACTAAGGCTAGGTCTACCAGAAAATCCACGATAACCTGAGTCTAGCCTCAGCTTATCGATCGGAGGTATTGTTTTACAGAGTCAGGCTGTCAGGCCCTTACCAGAGCGAAGTAGAAATAAAACGATATCACTAGATTTTTGAAGCGAGATCCTGAGCCAACCATCTCTGGTATCACTACTCCAGCAGACTAGCCCTCTTGATTGGGGAGACCAAACCAACCCTTCAGAATCCAAGAGCCAAGGCTTTGTTTACCCCTCCGCCACTTATCAGCAAAAACCCGCTCAAATTACCCAACGCTATCGCTCCTCCGCGCAGTGCTACCACGTTAACCCTCTTTGTTGATGAGACACACACAAGTAAACATTTGGCACAAGTTTCTCCAGTCGGAAAGAGTTGCCTATCAAGCTTTAATTGGAGGGTTAGACGTTTTTTGGCTTCGTACAAGATTATTTATTTAGAAATAGCGGAGAACTATGCGATCTTGTCACATATCTTTCCGCTAGAATCAAACCCTTAGACGGGCAAATACATAATCACTCAGCTTGAGGAAGGCTTCCTGCGCAGCTGGCCCCTAGATGAGAAGGCCCATCTCTTGAAAATATTATAAAAGCCAAAGGGATCCAGAGGATTTGCTCGGATTAATAGACATTCATCTTCCCTTGAAAGAAACTTGGATTCCTCCAAGACCGTACCCTACTCGAGTTTTTCAAAACAAAACACATACTCAGAGAAACCGTCCATCACTCTCATCCTCTAATCCGCAGTTTAAATCCTTCTCCTCTCCATCAAAAGAGCCTTCGTATCTACTCTATATCAAGTATAATTAGTCTATCAGCCATGAATCTATTTGCATCATCATCAAGGCCATCTCTTTCTCATCTTCCAATGGAGATCAAAACGCGCATTGCTGAATTTCTTTACCAAGGGATTAACGACTGGAATGTGTCGCCGCTCTTGAATCTTTCCTTGGTTGATCGGACATTCGCAAAAATCTGTAGGCCGCTGAATTGGAAAGTGCGTTGTGACTTGCTTTTCCATCCAATTTTCAGCGCACCTTTCTTTCCCTGTTCCTTCTTTTTATGTTCATGAAGTACTAGAGTAGTTTTAATTCTTTATTCTGATTTTTTTTCTGCTTCACATACAAACACTCTTTTTTCCTCCCTCAGAAGCTTGACCTCTGCGGCGAAAACCTTGATAGACTTGCGCAACTTTTCAATGAAGTCTTACCGAACCAAGCGCCATTTGTTCGACAGATTGACATGAAGGTCTTTATGTGTAACCTTCCATTGATCACCTATCTCGAACCAAGCTCAAGCGACAGGGAGGCAAGAGTTATCGAAGAATCCTATTCTACTGAGCTTAGCAAGATATTACAAGTCTGCAAAAACGTAGAACGGCTGGATGCGATTCTGGAACCAGCTCCATTGGACGATAGAGGAGATTTGATGGGGTTATATCCCACCAGCAAAGTCTTGAAGCCGATCTCAGCCTTGTGTGGATTAACATTTCTCAAGCTCCAGCCGTGTGAAGAATATCACTTTACAGAGCAATTCTTGGTTAGTTTGATCAAAGATATGCCTTACCTACGCACATTCTGTTGCGAGAGTATTCCGGCCGCATACCCTTTCTGTGATTTTTGCAAATGTGAAAGATCCACAGCGGCTTTCCCTTCTCCCCTCGGTGTACATCTGGCATCGCTTTCGTCACTCAGGTACCTTGAGCTCAATTTCGCCGATTGTTTTGACTCCAGCTGGTGCAAAATTGCCTGGGAAGGTGCACTCAAGGGCATCAAGCTTGGGAGTTGTGATCGGGCAAGTTTTTGGGCTCTCTATGACTTCTATGTGCTCTTCAAAGATAGTCTGGAGGACCTCTCGATTATCGATATGCCTTTCGAGAGTGGATACGAAAATATCGATCAGATTCTCTCCGAATCGTACTCCAAGAACTGCTTATTCTCATTACCCAGGCTCAGACGTCTCCTGATTAGCAACTCGGCTCCCATTGACTTCGTGGCAATGTTCAGGGAGTGTCGGCACATCCAACTCATATCCCTGAAGAAGAATGAAGTCCTATCCTTTCAAGACATAAAAGGATTGATAGATAGTGCGATCTGGAAAGAGATGAAACAATTTACAGTGAATGCGGATAAGTATGGCTTGAATTCTGCAGAAATCGTTGGATTGTTAAATTGTAACTCCAGCTCAAAGGCTGATGTGTCCGTTGAAGTAATTTACCAAGATGAATCAGAACAAGATCTATTGTGAAATGGTCTGAAAGTAGATTGCACCAATTCTGATTTGAACACCTGCAAATCCACCTTTGATTCGAATTTTCACATCAGCTAAACTGCAAAGATCTTCTTTGAAATGTTCCTTGACTGAATTATCTGCTCATTTTCCCTCTTGAAAGATGTGGAATTCAAAGAGATGATTTTATCCCATGATTTATTTCTATTCCAAATTTATTTCAGTATGTACTAGTATTAGGGCAGTTCACGTTCCAGCCAAACCTCTGCTGATGCAGCTTAAGGTTTGCTTGCTGATGCACAAGCCTGATGAACTTTACATGTGGGATTTTGAATCCAAAGGGGGACCTCCCACTAAACTATTTTGGTTTCCCATAAACCTTAAAACAGCCATTCCAGCAAAGTTTGACTGCTGATTTCGAAATCAGCAGTACGTGAACCCCCTTATTTTCATGATACCAAGGGCTGTGACCATCTAAGTGTGCTGCGAACCCAGCAGGGACGGTTAACACATGATGTGTGTCTTGCATCAAGTTTTGATTCCAAGTACTCCACTAGGGCTCAGCATATCCCTTCTTATTTCATATAGGCTAATTTGAATCAGCACATACTTAAAATGAGTGAACGATAGAATCAATCAACTATCAAGTTGTGCAGAGAAAAGTTCCATGGGAGTGTTTCATTCTTTCACTCAAAATCAAAGCAAGATCCCAAAAATTAAGTTATTTTTCTCTGAATTGATGGAAAGAATGAACAGATCTGAGATTTTTGAAACTAAAGTTGAAGAGGGTGACAGCTTTTCAGGGGGGAAAGAAGAGTTCAATGCTGGACCAGTTCAAGGGCAAACAAAGGAGGAGATGAACCGGCAAGTTTGATTTCTTGCACTAGCTCAATTGAAGCAGACCATGTTCAAAAGTATCAACAGTTAGAATAGAATAAGTGGAGCACAATGATTAACACCACAACAAAGCAGTATACCATTATAGCAGATAAGAGGCAGGAGGAACATTGACAAGCTGTAATACCTAAGGTTCTAAGACTAAAAGGAATTTAGCAGGCAAAAATTAACAATAATCAGACCATCAAGAAAAGTGGGACAGAAAGAAAGGCAAAGATTGATCCTAGTGGATGCAAGTTTTATTTTAATCATAAAAACACAAAGGGGGAAAAGATTTTTCTGGGATTAGAAGAAAATAGAGTAGGATTAAAGCAGAGCTCATAAATTAACAATGGTGATCAGGAATGATTTGATTGTTGGTTTCATTTCTGTTAATTCCATGAATCAAATTCTGACAAGATATTTGTAGTACTTCTTCACTACTTCCATGACAAAGGTGTTGCATCCAACTTCAATGGTTTTGAAAGCAAATTGAGTGATAATTAATTGATTATGATCAGCAATACATGATTGAATCAAAGAATCTGCAAAAGAAAATGTTGATGATAGTATGAGTAAGCTCCAAGAAATCATTCACCCCAATTCTTTTTCTCACATGACACCCAAATCAAAATCTGCAGAAACAAAAGTGAAGCACAAACAGAGGTGGGCTTTTTTTGTGATAACCTAAATCTAAATCTGGAAATAGAATTGATCAAAATTGTTGGAAAGATTTTAAATCAAGTCTGAACCCTGGTTCATTGAGTTCTAAATTGAAGACAATATTAATTCAACAATTTTTGAATTAGGGTGCTAGAAATTACCACCAGAAGAAATTGTCAGAAAGTAGGTGAGCTGGATGATGTTGATTTAGTTTAGTTGAACTTGTGAACCACTACCTTGTTTGTTCTGCTTGAACAGTGCATCACACATGCATTCTATTTTCCAATCTCAGCGCTCTGTGTTTGCCCAATTTCCTGGAAATTCCGACAGAACTTGGTGCATGACACGTTTAATTAAGAAACCACTGGCAAGATCTGTTCCAAGTGATTCACAACCATTAATTGTGGCAAGGAAATGAAGAACTCATGGGGATGGTGCAGAGTTGGACCATCAATGTAGGGAATCAATAAATCCACAAATCACTATTCTTAGAGATCAACTACTTGAATAATCCCTGTCAAAATTCATTCATGAACCAAGATTTACTTATGAATTTTGGTTCATCCATTCATATTGCTCCCTCAAAGGAGGTTTTAAAGATGATTCTGCAATCAAGTTGATCAAAAATAATTTTCTTGCTGGGAGTTTGTGGATCAATCACTTTGGTTTCATGTTGCTTATTGAGCAAAGGGATTATATTGAAAGCTCAACAAATAAAATCATAAGTATGCATGTATCAATGAAGTGAAAAATTTGCAGCTCACAAACTTGAGCAATATGACATTCTTTTCTTGAGCCCTGGAAGAATATTTCCTATGGATGATGTTGCACATATTTCATGGGTTGAGAAATGCCAAAGGTCTTCTTGTCAAGCAGTACTAGACAAGCCACAACTTTGAGTCAATAACCTTCTGGGATGATGAAATTCTATGTACGGACTTGGCCTTCAATGGCCAAGCCATTATTAACATGCGGTAATAATGCTGGAGCAAACTTTCTTGGCCGACATCAGCAAGTGCCAAGTCTTTTTTCAGGGACCGGCCGAATGTGGGCCGCGACTCGACAGTCTTCGACCTCGTTGAATCTGATTTGTTCGATCGATCATGGGAGTCACCGATCACATTGCCAGGATGTGTATTGATGTACTCCAGATCGAGTACAAGGCTGAACGCTAGCCACGGAGTTAGTGCGCACCGTTCAGTTGCCTCACTCCTGAAGGCTGATTCGCAGAATTTCGCACCCATCTACGCGTATCGCGATCCAGAATGTTGTACACTGGCCGACAACCTTCTTTACCCCGCAGATTTCCCTGAGATGTGGGGTACATAAGCTGTCAGACTGCTGTATGATACGGCTGACATCAATTGAAACCATGCTGGTGGAGTCCAACTGGATACACCCTCTCACGGTTGATTCGCCGAGGGTACGAATCAACAGTTGCCATCGACTGTGGAAGATCAGTTGGAATTTCCACACCCGATCGTGACAGGCTATGCATTGCTATGTGGTTTTGGCTGGCTTTGGGGACGGATGGAGATGCCCAGTGTCGACTCGAGATGGCCACCAATTCAATCGGCGGTATGGGGACTGCTTGGAGCTGGAAGCCCCCCACCCAAGTTCTGCGCTGTTTTTGAGGTGTGGGCAAGCTGACTCTCATTTGATGCCCCATTCCTCATTATTTAAGCCGGCTGTTTGATTTCCTGTTCCCCCTCCCCATCCGTGCTCCATCTTCCTCCCCACTCCAGTTTCCCCTGCATCCCTATCCAACCTCACTTCCTTAATCCCCCTTTGAGCACCGGGTGACCTATCTTTCCTCCACGCAGTAGCATCCTTCCCCTTTCCTCTCCTCCAAAGTAAAACAACAGTAGGAAAACATGTGCGGATCATCGTCAGAGACGGACCCAGTGTTCCAATCGATTAACCCATCCTTGTATGATCCCAAGCATGTCTTAGACTCAGAAGAGTTTGAAATCCTCACCGATCCAAACCAAGTTAAGGCTTATTCGGATGAAGACAAAAACATTGCATGCTGTTACAATGACAAACAACAGGTTTGTTTTTTCTACGTAGTAGTGATTCCCATGTTTTTATAAACCAAGACCTTCCTTCCACTGAACCAATCGCTTCGCTTTCCCGATTGCCATCTGCAGCTCAACATGGTCAAGAAGCCTATGCCAAAGGCCCATCCCGGCCAAGCCTTGGTCCGTGTTAGGGCAACCGGCATCTGCGGCAGTGACATCCATTTCTGGAAACATTCGAGAGTAAGCTTGAACGCGCCGGTCTTTGTCTTGAAAGTCTTTCCATCTAACCGATTGCTTGTCACCTATCATGTGTCTTAGGTTGGAGAGAAGATGGTTGTTAAGCATGAGGTGAGTAGCGCGTCAATCGATTGCATCTGTCTTCGAGTCTCGACAACTTCTTACATTGTTTCTCTTTGCTTTGATCGCTCGATATACTTGCAGTGTGGAGCCGGACACGAGTCCGCTGGAGAAGTGATAGCTCTCGGCGAAGGAGTAACTGATCTACAAGTTGGTAAGTATCTCCGACACATTATTCTCAACGCGCATCGGTGAGACACCCATCTGACCTATTTCGATGAACGTATAGGTGACCGGGTTGCGATTGAAGCTGGTATTCCTTGCTCCAAACCTACGTGCGATATGTGTCGAACAGGTGAGGCACCTTCCACTTCCATCAGTAACAACAACATTATTGACTTGATTCAATCGAATTCTACTTTCTGTACTAGGCCAATACAACGCTTGCCCGGAGATCATCTTCTGCTCCACCCCACCTTACCATGGTCTCATGACCCGGTACCATGCGCACCCAAGTTGCTGGCTACACAAGCTACCACCCAACGTCTCCTATGAAGAGGGCTCATTGCTCGAGCCTTTGGCCGTTGCTCTGGCAGGGATCGAACGCGCCGGAATCCGGCTGGGCGACCCAGTGTTGATCTGCGGAGCCGGACCCATTGGACTTGTCACTCTTCTCGCATGCCATGCCGCTGGCGCGTGTCCGATTGCGATCACCGACCTCTCCGAAAGTCGATTGAGCTGCGCCAAACGACTCGTGCCCTCTGTCTCGACCTTCCAGGTCTCCCTAGGGGAGCCTGAGACCGAGGTGGCCCAAAAGATTCAATCTGCCATGGGTTGTAAGCCCCGTGTGGCAATGGAGTGTACAGGCTTCGAGTCTTCCATCGCCACCGCAATCTTCGTAAGCTTCACAAGTCTTCCTCGTCTTGTTTGCGTTAGACCTCATCGCTGAACATATCCATTACCCACTGGATTGTTCTTTGCAGAGCGTCAAGTTCGGTGGCAAAGTTTTCGTTATCGGTGTTGGCAAAGATAAACAAACGCTTCCCTTCATGCACATGAGCGAAAACGAGATCGATCTGCAATTTCAGTAAGCTCTGTTTCTGATCGGATCAAGCCTAGTCACACTTTCTCAAACCCGTGTAACTAACATCGATGGTTCTGATTTGATCTAATTTTGAAGATTTCGATACGCAAACCAATACCCCAAAGCCATTCGACTGGTTTCGACCGGACTGATTGATGTAAAACCATTGATCACTCATCGATTCGGTCTGGAAAAGGCCATTGAAGCCTTCAACACAGCTGCCGATCCGAAATCGTGCTCAATGAAGGTTCAAGTTGTAGATTACTAGTTCGATATATAACATACATTTCGTCCTCATACTTAGCTTCTTTTTTGTTTTTCTCGCTATTTTCGAGCATGATAGACATATTTAATGGTAGAACAATTTTTTAAGCACTCATGAAAAGATAGCGGGCCCCTGCTGAAAGTGAAACGGTACTTTAAGTTGAGTTATCATCGGGATATGTCGGTTTGATAGTTGGTGTGGGATTTGTCTTTCTTACTTCCTCACTTGTGTGCTCATAGACTCTGCAAAAAAAAATGAATATAAATTCATTTGACTGTTGTAGCAAACCCTTATGGGCCAAGAAAGCATTGTTGCCTTCTAGCTCTATCGAAGTGAGTTTCACAACATTGTTAGGACAATTCCGAGTAGCTCATCGGATGAAATTGGGCTACCTAGTACAATAGAAAGATACAACTTCTGCTGAAACAATATAGCACGGTCATTGCAAATGTCGAGCATGGACAAAGCAAACTTGCGACGGGTCCGGGGTAGGGGATAACGCTTCAATCGACCCGAGTAGGGTTCCAACTGATTGCACCCGCATCACCTTGGTCAAGACTATCTAACTGAGCCATGGACTCGGCATCTAATTCGAACGAAAACACATCGAAATTCTCTTGAATACGTTCAGCCTTGTCCGATTTCGGTAACGGCACAAAGCCGTGTTGGAGGGACCAACGAATCAGAACTTGAGCTCCTGTTTTGCCGACCTGTTGAGGTTGATCGTACCGCATAGAGTTTGTCAATAAGCCATGAACGGGATGATGGATGGCGAGGGAAATGGAGGCTCGCAATTTACCTTGTTACAAATGTTCACAAGAGTTGGATGATCCATGTATTTGCCTCTTACAATCGGACAATAAGCTTGGATCAAGATGCCTTTGGATTTGCAGTAGTCTACAATCCATTTTTGTTGACACCAAGGGTGTAATTCGACCTAGAAACAACCACTGGTCAGCTTCATCGGTGGTCCGGACAAGGTCCAACCTATGGAGGAGGTGTAGAGGGCTACGTACTTGATTAACCGCTGGCAATGGTCCAACGTTGGCAGCTTCCAATTCTTGCAAATGATGCACGCCGAAATTCGATACACCGATTGATTTAGTCTTGCCCTCCTTGAGCGCTTCAGCTACGGCGATACAATCAAGCAGAATTAGCCAAGAAAGTGCGCGGCGTTGAAGTGACTGTGAGTCAAGCTCACCCAGTGCCTTGTATGACTCGATACGTTTCTCGGATCCAGCTGTGGGATCGTGCAAGAGAATCAAGTCCCAACGATCGGGTTTGGGATAGGTTACCGAGTCGATGACCGCGTTCTTACACGACTCATAACCATGCTCTGGCGCCTTGACTTTGGTAGTCAGAAATATCGAGTCGCGATCTGCCACGCTGCAGTACCCATATCAGGGACAAGTAACATTAAGAGCGATTCAAGCAGCAAGTAAAAATCGAAGGTGGCCGACGAGAGAGGAAAGAGAAATTAAACGTACCAATCCCGCACTACTTCACCTACCGCTGACTCGTTTTCATAATGGCGAGCAGAATCAATGTGGGTGTAGCCGCTTTTAAGCGCTTCTCGGCAGGAGTTCCCAGCGTCGGTTGCTTTGTACAAGCCAAAGCCGACAACAGGCATCCGTTCACCTAGAGTTAAGAAAGTAAAAATTTGCGCGATCAACAAATTCCGCAAGTGGCAAAATTCAACAGAGCAAAATCTGGCGCTGTCGAGATAATCTGCCGAACCCACCTGAATTCAGGGTGACAGTGCTGTTGGGGGTCAAAACTTCTGGCATAGACATGCTTGTTTGACGAGGTTATTGACTGAGAGTGAGGGTACTAAGAACGCGGAGTAAGTACGATAGGGTGAGCTGTTGGAAGCGTCTATCTGGGTTTCTCGAATTGTATTGCGATGTGGGATGGGGATGGGTGGCTGAGGGACGGGATCCGCACAAGTATTTATATTGCTTCTTAGCTTTCCAGTGTCCAGCCAATAACCCAAAGATCTCATCCTCCCAGAGGTGTCTGAGGCGAACTTCCCTCCATCGATCTCCAAACCTTCACATGTCCCACAAGGTGATGATGACATCGGTACTTACATATTCAATTGCGTCTCAGGTTTGACTTGCGCCAGTGGTGGTTTTCGATAATCGATTGGCTGAAGTCTTCGATCAAGTTCGTTCGGATCAACGTGTATGCCATCGTCAGCTCTTCAGATACTGCGTCATATGGGGGCCATACGGGCCATATGAGTGGATGTCTAAAATTGAATGACACAACCATATTTATGCATATTCGTATTTCGAATATTTTTATGTTCCGGATGTCGGCGCTAGATTTGAAGGAAGGCCCCCATCCTCGCATCACGAATCCGCATAATCAATTGCTCATCCTTGCGTCACTGTCTGCGATCGCCGACCGGACGAAACCTTCAACTTACGACGCGCTCGGCATGGCTTCAGCCGGATGATGCCCGGCGCATGAGAGGCGCGCTCTCGACACGCGTGTTCGATGGACTCCCTCTTGGGGTCCTCGATGAACTCAATGTTTTATGTCATCTTCATCGAGCTTCATTGTTCAAATCATGGTGTATCAGCAGTCTCAAGAGGTCTGTCTGAGGGCCTGCTTAACGTCATCCCTCTCAAGGCTTACCGCTATCAAATTTTCACATTTTTGTAAGTGGGAAATACGCATAGAAGCGCACTTGAATTTTATCGTCGTCGTGGTACAACACAGCCTATTAAGGTCTATTTCCTGCTCAACGCCGAACAATACATAAATACATTCAAGTTTTATGTCTAACAAAAATATAGGCCTCGAAGTCCTCTCAGGTGTCGATCCGCGATCGCACTTTCCTTCAGGACTGGACCTCGAGAATCGAGATCAGCCAATTCAATGTAACCTCATGATATCCTTGGTACGATATCAGGGTGGATTTCCTTTGTCCTATTCAAAAAGCTGTGATAGAGGCAATCCACCTTTCCTCATTACACCGCAAGCGGTGTGATATGCCGGCCCGAACATTTGCCAGGTAGGTGGTGTCCGACCAGTTCTGCACCCTGGGTACTGAGTCTGGATTGCGGTACTATGTAAGTCTGGTTTGGATAAATCTGTCCGAATGCTACTTGAATAGTATTGTCCAAGAAGGAATGGTGAATTGTATCCTGGGCAAGTTATAGGATAAAACCCTACCAAAAATGAACCTGGTTCATGTAGGGGCTTGATCAGAAATAAAATGATTACAACAGGCAAAGAAAAAGTTGCTAAGCTTTTGAGACAGTAAAGCTTGTCGGGCTTTCTGGTCACTTTAATGAGGCATGCACACCCCTTAGAGCTTGGATTGAGACATTTGGGGGCCAACATTTTCCGAGCCCAATCATCCGACTGCTACATACTCTGATCTCCATTGGGAGATACTATGTTACTATAACTACTACACAGCAAAATGTGAGTTGAACACACAGGATGTTCTTCCACCCTGGATTTTATGAACTCTTCGGAGATCGTAGAGTCTGAATCTTACTCAGTTTTGAAATTGGACCGGCCATTCCTTTCTCTTTTTTAGATCATTTTTTGGGACACTGGGAGAATACCCTAAGCAACAGCCTTGAGCAGATTGAAGTGATACAAGAAACCCCAATTACTCAATCTGTTAACTAGGTCTTGTTGTGGGGAGCCCACAAGCTAGAGGACTGAAAGTCATAGGTGTAGGTCTTGTGACAGTGACTTTGCTTATTGATTTGGTGAGGAAGGTTGTTTGGGTTGATGCCAACATAAAATCATATGCATGAGAAGTTTCCTAATTCCAACAAGGGAATGAAAGATCTCCCAATTCAGATAGTGACCTGAGATCTATGAGTTCTCATGTCATTGTAATTTGTCTGCTCTCCATCTGCCTTACGCCTAATGAAGAAATTTTAACCGAAGACAGAGAGAATTTTTGGGCAACAAAAACAAGTTTTTGTTGGAGAGGCTTGAGGGTCGGAAAAAGAGAGAGAGAGAGCCAATGAGTTTTTTATTTAGAGGAGACTACACGTTAAATAGTCTACATACAAGAGGTCAAACATGTGGTTGAGAGAAAAAATGAATATCATGATGAATAACAAAAATCAACAAATTCTTGAATAGATGACTGGAGCAATGTAAGGACTGAGAATGTCCTTCACTGGATGAGTCAAGTAATGGCGTGAGAGACGGGCAAATGAGCCCAGAATTTTCTAAGACCAAACGCAGAGAGCTTTTTTATTACTGGCTCAGAGAGATGGGTGGGCAGATCTCTCAGTACAATCTAGAAAGAGGGAAAGACAAGAAGAAAAGGAAAATAGAGCTGACCTGGCTCAGAGAGATGGGAGGGCAGATCTCTGCAGAGCCAGGAATGTGAAAAGGAAAATGAAGACTAAGGAGGGGGTGTGACATGCGAGTGAAAGATTTGTGAACCCAGCCAGAGGAGGGGTTTACAAGCAAATGACTATTGATAAAGACTAGACCAGGGTTCAAAGACTACAAGGATTGCAGCACTAGACAACAGGACAAGATACCACGCAGAAACTAACAAAAATTGTATAATAATTTGAAGTCTACTATTTAATCAGTATTAATTAAAAGACTAAACAAAAAGGATTTTTAGGGATGAGGAGAGAAAGAGACAAAATTCCAACACCTAAGAAGAGGGAAATACATCATGAAACAGGGAACTCTCAAGTTCCCAAGAGATTGTTGAGGCACTCAAAAGTGGGCAGCCTGTCAATCTCATGCACTGTGCTGTGGACTAGATTAAACTACTAAACTAGGTTTGAATTGTGTGGATAAGACTTGCCAAAACCTAAATGGAGATGCAATACTTCAAAAATATTTCCTCTTCATTTGTTTTGATTCCATCTCATTATCATTTTCTACCTATCAACTCATCAAAATTCCTCCTACTTGATCCTAGGTGTGCCTTGACCATATCTCATCTCTTTGGACCATTCCTGTGGCTCACATGATCATGGTTGTTATAGTTCATCTATCAGAAATTATTAGATTCAAGTTTTCTATCAGCTTTGTTGAAAATTGTCAATAACAAGCCCAAATTAGTTATTAGGGCTGTATCACTTCTTTCCTAACCTCCCTTTTCATTCCACTTTCCAACTTTCTTTCAACTCTCTATTTACTACTGTGATTGAATATCTCTTAATTTTGAGTGTAGGTAGTATTCACTCTATCAAGGTATAGAGTATCTAGACAGCTTCCAATCTCAAGCTTACATCTACTCCTAATTTCTTCTACCAGTTAAAAGAAAAGCAAACATTCAACAGCTCATCACTTACGAGATCCCTGTGGGCACTGAGTGCATGTCTATGGGGTTCTAGGAAGGCTTTGAAAGATTTTGGAAACTGAAGTCATATTTATTTCTTATGAGCTGAAGTGGTCTTTGATAAATACAAACATTTTTAATAAAGAAATAAATACGATAAAATGTTCTTCTTTACCTGAAGGCAGAATAATTTAGACTGGATATAATAAGACCTCCAAGGTAAAGAGAATAAAATAAGAATAATGATTCTTCTTTTTAATTTTAAAAAGAAAGAAAAAGATAATTAAAAAGTGATTCAACAAATTAATTAGTATTGATGTTATTTCTTTTTGTCTTTATGAATAATAAATAATCAAGTAGAAACATAACTTGATCAGATAATATAATTGCCTTTGATTTCAATTTGTTTCTTCTAGTTACTGTTGGATAAGGAATCTAGTTTGCAATAAAGTTTAATATTTATCTTAGCATTCCTTAATCAATCCTCTTTCACAGTAGTGAAAGGCTAGTATTATTACTCACCAAGTATAGGTGGAAAGATGCGGTCCACCAATCTGATTGCTGCGGTATTTGTGATTTGAGAACTAGCTGGATGCAATAAAGAAGATCTGAAGAGAAAGAAGTCGTAATTGGTTAGGACTCCTCTTCTTCTCATTGATCATGATCATTGAAGCTCAGCTAGAGTTTGATGACACACTTTTTCATCATCTAGTTTCATGAAATCACTGACACCATGATTCAAATTGCCAGCCTTGCGCTTGACATTCTCTTGCTCATCACGTGAGCAGCTATTATCTATTCATAATCATAAAACATGATTAGTAAGATTAATGTTCTAGATAGGTTGATAACTAATGATATCAACCTACCCACATTTCTCCTTTCACAAGGGCTAACACACAAAGCATGATTCCAACAGGCTTAAGTGCACACAAATGCCTGAAAATACATGAAGAACTAAAGATTGGATTACTAAAGAAATAAAAGACTAGAAATGAGAATAAAAACTAGGTTAGATCAAAAAAGGAAAAGAAATAACATCAAGAAGAGGAAGAACAAGAAAAGATGGTCCTAAAAATAGCATACCCTAGATACATTTGTATCTTGTAAGAAAAGACGGTTGAATCTTTTCAGATTTGTTTCCAAGGAAACAAGCAGCACAAAAATAGAAAAACTTCAGTATGAACAGATAAAGATAGAGAATAAATTTACAAGTTGTTTTCTTCTCACTTAATTGAGAACAGGGCCTTTTATTGAAGTTTTGAGATAGCTTTGAGAGTTTATGATTGTTGGGGAGTAGATGAGGATTTCAAAACCAAGATTTTCAAGTTGAGATATAGAGTAGAATAGAGAACAAGAAGACAAGATTCAGATGGGTGAGGTTTTGGAAGATGAAGAATTTGAAAGGAGAACACAAAGAGATATGGTTGAGATAAGAATGAAGAACAGTATGAGAGATGATGCAATTCAGAGACTTATATTAGATCTCAAGATTCACAGATTGAT